ATACATGTATTTGATTTCAATATTTTTTGAAATAACAATTAAACTTTTTTGGAATCTTAGTAGTGTCAATTATTCAATAAGAAATGCTTAAAAATTAGATTAATTAGATTAATAGAATGGTTCAATAGGTCCTGATATATATAGTGAAGTATTTATTCATGCATCCCATTAGTATTATATATTATAAATTAATACTTATGTGAATTAATTTAAATATTATCTTTAAAAAATGAGTGGAAGTATGTATGATTTATCAGTGGCCACATATTCTTAAGAAGGACGTATCTATTAAGTAGAATATGCTACAAAAGCAGTAGAAAATTCAGAGTAATTTGAATAAACGAATAATTATTAGGACTGTGATTGGAGTAAAATGTAAAGATGGAGTGATATTGGCAGGAGAGAAATAGAAGTTTTCTAGATTATTGGAAGACAATACAAATAAAAGAATATATAATATTGATAATTAAACTGGAATGGCACTATGTGGTAAATTACCAGATGGAAGAAACATTTTATAGAGAGCAAAAGCAGAAGCATCATAATATTAAGATATGTATGCAATATCAGCATCAGCTAATGTTTTATCTGATAGAGTATCATAATATGTACATGCATATACAATGTATTCTGGTGTAAGACCATTTGGATCAGCAAGTAATACATTATTCTTATTTATAGCATTCATTGCCAGTTATAATACTTTTGATGGTTATGAATTGTATATGATTGAACCGTCAGGAAATAAATATGCTTATCATGCATGTGCACATGGAAAAGGTAGAGCTATTTGTAAATCGGAATTCGAAAGAAGAAATTTCAAAGATCTCACATGTTAAGATGCTTTAGTTTATGTTGCTAAAATGTTCATCTATTTATATATATACATTTAGGTTAATTCTATCACATGAGGAATTTAAAGAAAAGAAATTTGAATATGAAATCACATGGATTACTGATAATAATCAACGCAAACATTAAGCTGTACCTTAAGATTTAATTAATAATGCTGTACAATAAGCAGAATAATTAATTGAATAAGATTAAATTGGAGAATGATCATATCTACATAAAAAAAGCATATATTATTATATTCATTGTATCAAACATTCATTCCACTTTATTATTATTTACTACCTTCTAATCCACTCTCATTTTTTACTACAAAATATCCATTCGTTTATCTATTTATTGATTTAAACTCTATCATTTTATTTAAACTGAAATTAAATTCATCTGGATATTCAGATTCCAGTAATTATTTTGTCTCTTCTGAAACTTAAACTCTTCCTCTCTCACCATTTGATTCCATCTTATTTGATATCATTACATCTGCACCATATACATCATATCTCACTATTTCTGTCCCAAGAATACCTGCTATTACTTTACCCTATAAAATTATTGTTTATTATAATTACTGTATGAATCCCTATTCTCATATCTAATCCATCATATCCTATTATTTATCTAACACTCCTTATAATTTCTATCATACCAAATCCTAATTCTACTATATTTTTAGCTTCCTATGCTGGATTTCTCTATAAAATATCCATGATTCCTAAAGCAACATAACAATCACCAATAGTGTATAACTTATATGTATTTTAAGTTAAACATTATTTATCGAATTCTGTAAAGAGATTTCTAAGCATATTTACAACTTATTCTGGTTCAACTTTACTAGAATATTCAGTGAATCCAGCTATATCTGCAAATAATAATGTTGCATCTTCTAATTATTCAACTAAAAAGGCTCTTTAATTATTAGATAAGAATTATTTTAATATATGATTAGGTAAAAGATATTTAACTAAATTTTCAGATTAACTTTTCTTCAATCCTAAAGATCTCTTATTATTAAAAGTATTTAAATCTTAATAAAACATATTATAATGTACTGAAAACATTAAGATTCCTTAAAATATTGTATAATAGACAATAGGCCAACAATGAAATTTAATTAGTACAATTAGTATTTATGCAAAACAGAAAACTAACATAAAAATTAATTTAAATTTAATAAGAACAATCTAAAAGGACCAAAAAAAGCAAAGCAATAAAATTCCTTCAGATGCTTACAATTCTATAAGATCTTAACTCTTTAGTAAAATAAATTCTAATAAAATGCTTAACATTAAAATTATATAGATTCCTAAAAAATATTTACTCTTATATAATAAATGTTTCAATTTCTTATTTTAAGACAAAGCTAAAACTAAAAGTAGTAAGACAGCCAATAATCTAATAACTATAATGAGATTAGTATATTTAAAGATTTGATTATATTATATGATAAAAAAAGTTAATGTTTTAGCTAAGTATTATAAAAAGTGCAAATAAATTGTAATTAATACAATATTCCTACCTTCAGAAATCTACTATGTAAATTCTTTGGCTAAGAGAAATTAATTATCTTTGAAACCAAGATATAATTTCTTACTTTCTAATTGTAATGATTCACTAATAATATTGCTGTTATCATCTTCTAAAAAAGCTTTAAATTTATCAAATTCAATTTCATAATCTGGGAAATCATCAATTAAATCTATTTATAATTCTTTTCTTAATTTTTATGAAATGTCTGATAGTAAATTAGATTTTTCAACATAAGATCCATGTATTTCTTTCTCAAAACAACTATTATCTTAATCAGGTTCAAATTAAATATTTTGATTACTATCAATTTTGATTAATCCTTATGTCTAAGCAGCTTATGATAATCCTCTTATCAATAGAGTCTATCTTTAATTCTATTTCCTTTAAAACTATTTTCTATTTTCTTATAATTTATTTGTATCTTAAAAGGATTCTTACTAAGCAGGTATAGATTACTTAGATGAATATTATTATAAAATTTCTTATTCTTATTATTATTATTATTGATTGTAATTAGAGTTATCATCTAATTTATCTAATTTATTAACAACTAAACTATTTTATCTTTTTTGAGAATTTTAAACAAAAGATGAATTTAAGTTTGATTAAATTAAATTAGTTTAAGTTTATGTTTATTAAATTTGTAAAGATACTTAAGGAGAAAACATGAATTAATTATGTTCTTCATTTTTGAGAATGAAACCTCTTTTTTTAACATTTTTTTTTTGATTATTTCTTTTAATATCTTTACTAACTTAATAAGTGATTAATTCACCTTTTCCTTTAGCAGCAACTTTTCTTTATGTAAATTATAAATCTGGCATGTTAATTTCTTAATAAGCTTCATTAGATAATGTTACTTAACCATCTTATCCAGTAGAACAAACTCTACTAGTAGTGTTAACAGTATCACCAATTAATGAGAATTAAGGTTTATGATGACCAATAACACCAGCAATAACTCTACCATAATGAATACCTATTTTAATTATCAAATAACCAATTTAACCATATTTGACTTTTTTAGTATGTTCCATCATTTCTAATGACAATTATACAGCCTATCAGATATCAATAAAGTCTTACTCTTTTTACACAATTTTAATTGTTAAATTTAGTTCCTTAATCAACTGCTTTTAGACCTCCAGCAGCCATATATGTTTTACCAACAGTCTCAATCTTTTGCATACCATTTTAAGCACATAATAAATCAAATGATCTAAATAATCCATCTAATATTTTAACTACATTCTCCTTCTCTATTTATATTAAATCATCAAATCCACATATATCGCAAAATACTATTGAAACATTACCCTGATTCTCAGCTATCTCAAACATACCCTCTAAAATTTTATATAATTTTACTTGCATTTATTCTATCTCTTATAAACTTAGGCAATAAAATAGATAATACATTAGTCATATTTGATGTCTCCTAATTCAATGTTACATCCAACATAAAGTCTTCCCTCTCTAATCTTATCAATTTATATTGCAATGCCATAAACAATATACTTGTTGCTATCGTTATTACTTCTCCATTTATTACAACAAAATATGTTACTTAACTTATTCCAAAATCTACTATTGAATAATTCTTTATAAAACCTATCATTACTATCAATACTAAAATAAAATTAACAATTGGTAAATGTATTCTACATTATAATACAATCACTATATAATTTTAAGTTATCAATATTTCATATATTCCTTTACTTTCATTTGTCCCCATATCACATATAAATTTTATTAAGCATCTAATACTTACAATTGTCAAATTTATAAAAAAAAAGTGTTTTGAGTAGATGTTAGAACATACTAATGATAATAATACTAATTCTAATGCTATACCCATTATGTATGACATAAAGTATAAAGTACCTTGAAAATTATTTATATTGTATGATACAAATAATATTAATGTTACTATTTCTAAAAATAAAAGAGTAAACATTAATTTGTATTTCTCCAATTTCAACAATAAAATTTTTTATAATCTTTTGAATTTCATCTCAGTATCTTTATTCATGAATTTTAATGTAAATGGATTCACTTTATCTTAATTTACTTTTAAATTTGATCCAGAAACCATCTCCTAAATTGATATATCTAAATCATCATTATTTCTTTTAAATATCTTACCAGCTATAACTGCTATCCTTTTTATTAAATTATGATGCTTCTTCTTACTATCATTACTTTTTATATTTAATTTTTAATATATTTTAAATATTTCATCATAACATTTCTAACTTTTTATTAAACTTTAACAAAACAATGGTTATATTACTTCAATGCATGTACTTAAACATAATTAAGCAAATATATATAAAAAAAATATAAACCATGAACTTGATTCAATAAATAAATCTTCAAAAGTTTCAATATTTTCATCAAATGAATATTTCACTGATAATAATGACATCGTAAGCCAACAAACTAAATATGCAAATAATAAAATTGTCAAAGCAGTCATCTTTTAAACTGTTGAAACACATAATTTTACAATATCACTTCCTATCAATAATAATAATAACATTTATCTTATTATTACAATCTAAGTTTTATTATAATCTAAAATAGAACAGGCTAACCATAGTAATAGTGCATCAAGCAAAGCATTTCCATTAATTTTAAATAAAAATTATATTACTTTTTTCTTTTTAAAAGTTTTTATATTTATTTTAAATTATTCTTGATACATTTTAGAATCTGCATAATAGTTTTAATTTAGCTTAGATACTAAACTTGCTACTTATTGTAAAATTAACATCAAACTTTAATAAACAGTTAACCAACTACCCTCAATTAATTGATAATTTTATGAACAATTAGTTGAATACATGAAAAATAAACAATATAAAATTAATAAGGATCTATAAAATGAGAAAACCAATAAATCGTCATAAACTTCAGCTAAAATTCTACTCTCAAAAAAAATCAATCCACATAAATCTTCAAAACTGCTTATACAAATATCTGAAGTAGGCATTTTTTATACATCCTTTATACAATTAAATTTCTTAAGAGGATTTTCCAAAATCTTATTCATAGATAATCTCTAATTAACTTTAAGTTTAGTACTTAATTTATAATTTAAATAACTTGTTGGTATGTGAAATAATTGAATACCCATATTAGCCTATCTAAACATTTGAATATCATTAAATGAATCCCCAATTGCTAAAACTTTTTTATTACCTTGAAATTAAGTTTGAATTATTTTTATGATTTCTGCTTTATCAAATGCATTAAATTTGTAAGCAATCAGTGAATTACAAAAATAAAGGAGAAATATTAAATGACCAAGTAATACACTATCTTCTGATATTATTTTAAATTATTCTCCACTTAAGATTATTGAGTAAGCTTTGATTTCTGCGAAAAGTTAAGATTGAATTTGTTGACTCTTACCTAGTTATTTAATTTCTAAATTTTAATTTAAATCAACACTCTTATAAAGTTATTTATTATCAGATAAAGAATTAAGTCTTAAAGCTTTAGATTATTACATAGGATTAACATTAGAATTTATATTATTAGAATCATTGTTTTAAAATTATTTAGCCATTTAAGCTAATTAATTTTTGATTACTAATTTAGCATTATCGGAATCTATGTATATTAATTAGTCTGTAGTTGATAATATTTTAGATTTATATGCAACAGGTAAAACTCTATTTAGCTCATCACCTGATAGTAAAAATAAACTTAAATCTGCTTATTTCATTTATTAAATCAAAGGTTTAACATCTGGTCTAATCTTTTCTTTAATACCTAAAACATGCATTATTTACATATCTTTCTCCATGTTATTAAATAATTAAATCAATTCATTTTAATCTTGAGAAAATTTGATATCTTAATATCTATCAAGGAAATCTGTTTTTTCATTCTCTCTTAAATAAATTTTAGAATAAACAACTGTTCTCATTCCAGCCATATGTAATTTTACAAATACTTTATCCCAATATTCTCTACTGCTTTTATCTATATCAATATAAGATGGAATTTGATTAAATTCTTCTCTTACAATCAAAACTGAATTAATTAGCTCATCTTCTTATTCATTATCATTAGAAAATTAAAATTATTCAGCCAATTTATCTGGATATTAAATCAATACACCTAATCTTGGATGTAGTTGTGAATATTAATTTATTGCCAAAACCTAAAATTCATGAATTTCTCCAAAAATTTCTATTATATAAGTTATTCTACCACTTTATTCATTTGTACAAATAAATTTGATATCGAAATTATTAGCAAATCTCATTAATTCTTAATCAAAAATATGTTAAGTTGAATTATGTATAAATTGATCATCATATTGCATAAATTTAGATATTATTTCTTAACATAATAATAAAGATAGTACTGCTTCCTAATAATAAATTTAAGCTTATCCTATAATTAATTTTTAATAAAATTCTTAATCCTTAAGAAAAGCAATTTCAGCTTATTCTTCTTCAAACTGAAAAAATTAAGTTGAAAACTTATTATTCTTGTGAACAACAGAAGATTACATTTTTATTTATCTTGGTTCTTCTTTTTTTATTGCCTCACTTTCACTTTATCCTTTTTTTTATCTGTCACTATTCATAGATAATTTATCTTCAATAGGAATTAATTAAATTTCTTCAAATTGACTTTAACATGGAGACTATTAAATTGAAAGTGATTAATTTATTGCTATTGATTTATTAAAAAATGGTTTAGGCTTATTCCCCTTCATTTCCTATGTAATTTTACAATGAGTATCATCTAAATCTTCTGGCTTTAAATTTTCCACAATATTATGTCCAATTAAATCAGAAATATTACCATCAGAATTCTTAAAATTTGCACTATCTAATTCAGATTTACTTAACATTCCGGATTGTTATATAGATTGAAAAGCTTAAGTCTTATTATTACTATTAAATTTAAAATTGTTGTTTTATTATGTATCTTCATCTTTAAGTAATGTTTAATGTAAAAATGTTGATCTTTGTTTAAGATTTTATGATTTACTAATTGATTTTGTAAGTTATATAGTATTTTTACAACTATTTTTTCTAATTTTCATTCGTTAATCAATACCAATATATTCATCAGAATATTCTTCTTGTTCAATAATTCTAAAATTTGGATTTTATTTTAATTATTATTTTAAATTATCTTTATATAACTACCATCCATTTTGTACCTTTTTTTAACCGAATTTATACATCATGTCTTCTATTATAATTGATCTAACTCTAAATTCTCCAGTTGTTAATGTACCTGTCTTATCAAAACATACATATTCTGTCATTACTAAATCACCTATTGAAACAGAATTCAATTATTAATAAATTATGGATTATTGTTATATATTTTAATTATTACTTCCATTATTGGCTACCCTTATTTTAGTATCAAATTATCTATTTAATTTAGATTTTCTATATTTAAAATGAGCATATCCCATTTCAATTAAATCTATACAATTATAAAAATAAATTGGAGTTGTCTTCAAATACTGAATCATATAAAAAATTAATGTAATACTATCAAACATTGCTTCTTAATATTCATTTCTACAAACTTGAAATGATGCAATCAACCAACTAATAAATGTTAGTATTATGCTAATAATCAAAGTTAATGCAAAAAACATTCTGGATTTTTAAACAAAAAAAGACTTTTTTTCTACCATTTTCAAATTATCATAACATAAACATTTTTATCCTACAAACAATACTAATCCAATCAAGTATTAACATGTTTTCAATTGTTCTTCTCTTTTAATTATATTTTGTCTATTAAAATTTTCTCCCTTAGGGTCCTTTTTTAATTTTATATAACCAAAAATATTCCTATTTAAATCTTTATCAAATTGAATTTAACCAGTCATTATCTTTTTGTAATCAAAACCTTAAGCTTTATATTTACCGTTTTTTAGCATTGTTAATTATGTTGGTTATCTTACATCTTCTAAAGTTGAACCATCTAATTATTATGTTGAAATTCCAACTATATCATCAGATACATCAATAATTAAAATATCTGCAGGACAAACCTCATTTCTTTTTAAATAAATTAAATCACCAACTTCCAACTGCTACCATTGAATATTTTCATAAAGCAATAGCCTTTCTTTTTTCCTACCTGACTAAACTGAATGAGGTTTTTTTTACATTTCATTTTTTTATATTACAATTTATGGTTCTTTCGATATAGGTAAATTTTCATTTTGTTAAACATTTATTTATTACTTACTCCCTTGATTAATTTCTTTCTTTAATCTCCGGTATCTTGTAACCTCTCTATGATTTGTTTTCTTATCGTATTCCATTTTTCTATAATCAAAATAAAATGCCTTTGTTATTTATAAAACATAATGCATTGATAATGGCAATATATAAACCACTAAATCCTCTTAACTAAAATATTACTTAATTATTACTTTATTTTTAAAGTGCAAAAATGTACAATCATTACAACATAATAAATTAACACTCCTATCCTTTCAAATTACTTGAAAAATAAATAGAAGAGCAAATTCTTTAAATCAAAATATCCTGTGTTGATCTTATTTATTAATTCACTCTATTTCATTCCTTTTATATTCACAACTTCTCCACAATCAGTTTCTATCTATTCTACTCAAATCCAAAAAAATACTTAATACTGATATTTCATCTTGTTTTGACTACTTTTAGAATTACCATATGTTTTTTTCAATTACTCGTAGATTAATTTTCCTATGGTTTGCATAATAATTTTATTAAATAATTAACAATATCCTTTTTATTCAATTTTATTAATTGAATTTTTAAATTATTCTTATTTGTTTTCTTTTAATTAAAATCACACTGAAAAACTAAAAAATTCAGAAACCCTTACTATTTGTAGTCTTCTTTAATGAAGAAAATCAATTCTTTCATTATAACCCGTATTATTTTCTAAGTACCTGAATAGCAATTTATTTATTTGTAAAATGTTTATTTAAATAAAAAATTGTTTTCAAAGGAGCAAAACAAGAAATAACATGAATTTGTTGAAATTTTAATACAAACCTTATATCAAGAGAATAAATAACAAAATATGATTCCTTAAATGTTCAATGAATTTATACTACACCAATCTTCCTTTGTCTTGCAACTTGCATATAAGTTATATTTTATTATTTAATTAAAAGTCTTTGAAATAATTAGAATAAAATGTGTTGAGAAAATCATAAGATTATATATTAGATATTTAGTTCAACTAATATATGATTAAAAAAGGAAGGATTTTTTCGTTAGTAAATTTATTCAGATACAATCTATAAAATGTTGTAATAGTTTATTATTCTATCAAGACTATCAGATCGTTTGACTTGATTTCAAAATATAAATTTAAACTATGATTAATAAAAAATTGAAATGATAGGCAGTTATAATTGTAAAATGAAAAATTATAATGAATCCAAAATGATGTTAACAAGAATCATATATAAAGAGAAAAGATGAAGAGATAAAAAAATTAAATAAATTTATTTTGAATAAAAAAATTTCTTTGGTTAGTGCTATTAGAATCAGTTCTAATTTGAAATTAGGAAAATGTTGAAGATATTATATATAGTTAGAAAAATATTTATGAATGGATGGACTAAAATACTTTAAATACTTAATTATGGCAAATCTTTACTCTTGATGTCATCAATATAACGATTTTAAGGATTTATTAATAATGAAATTTAGATTTTAAAAAAAAAACAACAATTTATTGATAGAAAAAATATTTTTTAATAATGTAATATTTAAATAAAGTAGAAATTTATTAATCTTTATCTAAAAACCCTTTAATAAAAAATAGAAAAACTCACATAATAATTAAACTTAAAGTAAATTAATATTTTTAGAAATTACAAAAATGAAAGCATTTTTTTCTATCATTCTAAAGTAAATATTGTTTAATATCATATATATCTTGTAAAAAAAATATTAGATAAAAATAATATACTTTTGTAATTCTCAAAAATAAAACAATTATATTTTATTTTAATATGAAATTTTCATTCTTGAAACATAATTTAACTGAGCTTATAGGAAAGGTAGAACAATTAGATTCTCCAAGCTCTATAATAAAGAAATTCGGACCATTCCTTATGTCTAGTTTATTTAATCAAAAACTATAAGAAAGCCAAGAAGTCATTAATTATATGGAGAAAAACATTGATAAAAGTATATTCATTCGAAATATTACACATGATCCTCATGCTAAAAATTGGAGAATTAACTATAGAAAATCGATTGAAAGTTTAGCATGTTCAATCATAGTTGATAATCAAAATATCATTGATAAGCATTACGCGACAACAATAAAAGAAGAATAAATTACTTTAGCAGAAGCTCTACCTTTAGTATATACTTTGGTTATTTAAAAATTAAAAAATTGGAATGTCACAAATGAATAAGATGTTTTATAAAGATTAAATCAATTACTTGTTACATAAAAACAGGAGCAACAATAAAAAATGAATATTAACATTCTTTATCAAAAATATTTCCTATCTGATCTTGGATTATATTATCCAGAGTTGTTAACTTATTCATAAGGTAGGATCTTTTGTACAGAATTGCCATTAGATTATTTTATTGGAGAGTTAAATATTGAGTACAAGGATTTTTTTATAGAAAACAACAATTTAGTTGATTTAAAAATTGGTGATTCAGCTTATGTATTCATGTATCCAGATGAATTTGAAAATTAATCTATCAAAGCTTTTCTGTTAAAATATGGGAGAATCAAGAGATTGCAAGAGTTGTATACTAATGTTCATGTTGTTTGGTGTTATAGAGGAATGAAAAAAAAAGAGTTAATTGATGCCATTGGTATCTGAGATCTGTTTTATCATATATAATAATAATCAAGAAAAAAATAATATTATTTCAAAAAAAAATAATGAATTGTAGTAAATTGATTTTGAGATATTTTCTTCAATTAAATGACATTTTAAATAACGATAGATATGTGCGTAAATGAATTAAAATAGTAACGCAAATTTAAAATTATAAATATTTATTAATGTGAAGCTAATTAATATTTTTATTTTAAATAAATTTTATAGAAGTCAGATGAAAAAGATTGCTACTTCACTATCATTTAAATTCATAATAACGATAGGAATAGTCTTCGAATCCCCTTACTAAATTATATTTCTTAAATTTATTTATAATTATTATAAAAATTACAAAAATATTTAATTATATTCTAAATTCTTCTAATATTCAAAGAATGAAGAAAAACTTTGAATTAAATTAATGTCTATGTCTAATTCTAAATAATTCTATTTAATTTTTTTTGAAATGAGAATAAATTAATATAAAATCTAAAATTATTTTGAAATTAATGTTAGAATTGATATATGAATTGATGAAATATTGTAACAAAATTTAGATTTAATCTTTATACCCTAATCTTTTTAAAAATATATAATTAATAGAGAGGATATAAAATCTAAAATTTATAATATTCTGAAACAAGTCTTGTGATAAGATGTTGAAGACTTATCAATTCTGATTTATAAGTATTTATAAATATAATTTTAATATATGAATAAGTATATTATTGTTTTTCTAATTGATTAAGTTTATTTGTAGCTATTTATCTAGATTTTTTCTCAATTATTTTGTGGATGATAGATTATAAAAAAAAATCGAATAAACAAAGTCCACAAATTATCAAAATTTTATTGAATTTCTATAATAGCTATTATGAGACTGAGATTTGTTCCAAATATGTAGTTTAAATATATAATAATGATTCTAACTAACATTAATTTGATATAATGAAACATCTTAAATTATCAATTCCATGCATGAATTAATCCTTTCTATATAAAGGAAATTTTTAAGACATTGACTATCAATAGCTTGTACAATTTGCAGAAAGCAAACTTTGTAAAAAACTCACTAAAGATTTTAACTTGGTTTATGTGAATATGGAAGGTGATAGTTTTGTAATTGATGATGATCAAAAATTAAACAACTTAAAAAAGATAAATTCTTAAGTTATAAAGATTACTCTTAAGGAATTTGAAAAATAATTAGTTATTCATCCAAATACAATATGTTCTGTTTGTCAATAATCTCCAATTTAAAATATTAGGTTCAAATGTGTTGTCTGTAATGATGTGGATTTATGTTAGCATTGCAGCATTGAGCATAGTAAGTTACATCCCTTAATTATGATTTCTAAGCCAGAATAAGTGTTATACTTAGAAAGTTTTTTTAAAAAACACATGAAAAAAGTAAAGCACATTTTTAATTGTTCTTTCCATAAATCAAAAAATACGATGATAGCCATCAAAGATGTTATTATGAAAAAAAAATAAAATTATTTTGGTCATGTTTAATAATAATAAGAATAGCAATTATAGGAAGGCTAAATAAAGAAACCTATAAGTTTGGAAGAAGAAGATGTGTTGAACAAAACCTTAAGATTATCAGAAATATTTGAAGGATCACCAAGAAGATATGAGAAATTTGTTAAATAAAACAAAGAATTAACATTTGAAGAATTGGTAGAATAAGCATCTGAAAAGTTTGCCTGAAATTTATATAATTTAAATTATTCTAAATAGTATTTAATTTTTCATTTTTTTTGGATTTAAGCTGACATTAGTCCTGTTGTTGTTTAATACATCTATAATAAATTTTCAATAATTACATTTTAATGTTATTTTTAATCTGTTGCCCAAGGTGCCTAAGCCTTGTTTTTTTGATATTATTAATATTATTATTTGGAATCTAAAGACATTTGTTGCATCATCTTATCCAATTGTTCCATCTTCAAAGGAGTCTATTATGGTTAAACTCTTTTTTATTCTGTTTATTAGTTACATAATTAAGGGTTTTACTATTATTAATTGGTTTATTGTGCAATTTAATATTATGATACATTTGTCTATTAATTATAGAAGTATTGCGTAAAGATGACGTAATTATTATTTTGAGGAATATAACTTTGTAAATTATAGTGTTTCTTTAAGAATCCTAACAATTTCCCAGATGGTCGATCATAAGCCAATTTTTCTGGTCTCAATATTTCTAATCTTAACATTTCTTCAAAAAGCTCTTTGCCTATACCTTTTCTTTGAACTGATTCATGTACATAAAAGTCTAAAACACATAAGGGTTGAATTTCTTTTATCACTCCGTTTAAATCTCTATGAAATAAGTTTTTTCTTCCTATTTTTAGAATTCCAAAACAACTCTAATTTATATTTTTGCATAGTTACTTTTCCTTCTAATTTAATATACATCTTTTAATCAGTCTAAAAAAATCTCATTGGGCTTGTAATTACTTATTTCAAATTTTATGCCTAATTTATATAATGGTTGATTACTAATGCAGAAGCTTCGCCCATGGTTGTAATAACATCATCAAGTTAAGGATTACGTTTTTAATTCCCATTTATAATTGCTATTCCATTTTCATTAACAGTCATGCATTTAGATAAGTAAAAGTTGAATTACATCTAATTAATATTATGAATTTATATAAATCATTCATTTTATTATTGAGATCTTTCATATTATTCCTATAATCTATCTATATAATAAAGTTTTCTTTAGAGTAAAATACACTAATGTTGTAATTCTTCCCTTTCTTTTAAAATCCGCAAAATCAAATTACTTGGTATTCTCAAAAGTTATGCACCACTACTTTCTATTAAAAGCTTAAAGCATTCTTCGAATGAATCTATCATCTATACTATTGAAAAATGATTGTAAAGTACAAAAATCTTTTAATAATCAGTTGATTTTATAATCTAACTCTCCTTTTTTCTATAAGAATAACTTATTTCAAACTAATTTTAAGCTGAATTTTAAGTAAAATCAAGTTGATTTTTTACTTAGCTTCCTTTTTTTAAAGTAGCATACTCATCTGAACTAAGTTTTTGATTTTAAGACTTTTTTATTGGTGTTTTCATATCTGGTTTATCAAGAACCAACATCTATGGCTCTATATGTAATGCAGTAGGTTTTATCAATTATCTTATATTTTAGATTGATTATTATAATTTAGAAGAATTGATTTGTGAATTGACTTCTAAGTTTTTTAAGATTATTATTTGTGAATTTTCTCTTTCTTAAACTATACTATCCATTTTTAGTAAAAAGTTATTTATATATGTTAATTTTTATGATCAAAATTAATCAGATATTTATGTTTATATAATTATCAAGCAAAATTTAGAGTCAATAAAAAAATGAATTTTATCGTTTGTTTGAATGAAGATTGTTAATTGTAAATGTTAATTTAGTTATGATTGTATTCTTAATTGGATTGAAGAGAAAATAAATTCAAAAATAGGAAGTCAATTTAATCTCATGTTTAAATAATGAAAGCAAACAAATAATCACCTTAGAAAATTTTCAATAATCAATAACAAGTAAAAAAATAGAAGAAAAGTTCATGGAAATTATGTTAATAAATTACCTTTAATAAACCCAAGAAATAAGACCTTGTCCTAATAATAAATGTAGTTAGTTATTATGCATTTCTCCCAACAAATAGATGTAAAGAAGAATTCTCTTGTAACTTATGCAGTAAATTAATAGTTGATATAAATAGATGTTATTTGGCTTGATAAATTGTTCTTATTAAAAATTAAAGATACTAAAAGTGATTTATTATCATCTTTTTTTTAATTTGTTTCTACTTAAGAATGTCCAAGATGTAATTCTAAAATACTAAAAAATGGAGGATGTAGTCATGTGACTTGTAAAAAATGCCATTTATATTATTGTTGGATATATAACAATTAATTAATCAACCATGTTCATAATGATTTTATTTGCTTCATTAGAAAACTAGTCTACATTACATTAATCTTATTCAATATTGGTATCACATTTTATAACTTAGATTGATTTTATACTTCCTAATGCTATGATATTATTATTGTTATTTTTGAGGTCTCTTTTTGCTTTATAATTCCTACATTATATTACCAATCGCTCTTATTACTACTTTGGTTTACACTTTCAAATAATTACCCAAGCTTCCCAAGCTTAATGGTGTTCGAAAATAAAGATTTATTAAATCATAAATAATATTTTTGATAGTCTAAACAACTATTTTAATATTATAAGTGATAATCACTTATTACAAAATTTACAATATAACTTTATATCAGTTTCTAAATTATCATTACTACTAATTTATAATTATTTTTTTATTTGGATCAATTACTATCCTAATAAAGTTTTTTTACAATTTCTTGTAATCAAATTGGCTCAAATACTTGATTTGAATTTATCAATTTTTATATATAAAAAATAAAATGCGATTTAAGTTTTTTATTCAAAATATTATTTCTTATTAAGTAAAGATTTTTATAATGGAATTTCATTAATGCTAGTTTGGATTTCAAATAGATTTTGCTCAAAACCTTATAATATTAATTTTATATTATTAATTGAGATCCTTTAAAGTATTAAGTTAACTTCTGGTAATGATTAATTAATTACTATAAATTTGGTTCTTAAAAGCAAAAAAAAATAAAATCAGTAATCATAATTAAATTTGATATGAACACAATTAGAAAAATAAGGCCGTCTATTGGATCATCTTAAGAGATTTAGATAAACGCATCTTGTTCTTTCACACCTAAGTTGACTAAATCTCAAACTTTCATCTAAATAAAGAACAAATGTGCTTCCTCTGGCAGTAAAAATTCTACATCTACTAAATTAACCTCACCTTACTAACCTCATCAAAAGAGTTAGTTCTCTCTTCAAACCCACTCTGAAACTTAGGACATTCATTCTATTCTAAATGAATGCCTATAAATTTTCAAAGAAATTTAACAAAATTCTTTTAATAATGAAGTTGTTTTGCTTGATGGAAAGGATAAGATGCGAAACATTGAAAAAATAATAGAAGAAATTTTACATCATCAAAATACCAAAAATTCAAATTAAAACAAGATATCCTAATTCATGTAATAAATTATTGAAGAAAAAAGGCAAAAGCAATAAGCTATTCAATCAGGAGAAAACCTAATTAAGTAATAAGCAAATCAGATTCAATAGTTAGTATTATTATTTTATAATTTTAGAACCTTAGAATTTCTATTTATTAATAATGATATTATTATTGTTTATTTA